TCTCACCATGCCGTTTTCGACACTGGAGAAGAATTGTTCCTCGGAACATGCGATAAAAGAGGTGTTGGAGGCATCGGTGTCCTTATCAACACAAACTTGGCCAAGAGCATTGATTCATTCGAATGCCTAACAACCCAAATCGGACGTTTACATTTGAATAGATGTGGCTCACTGCCTGCAGTTTCTATCTTCGTTGTCTACGCACCAACATCTCATTATGATGAAAGAGAAATCGAGAAGTTCTACATGGAGCTAGAGAAATTCTATAAAGAAGACCACACCTTCTACAAGATCATTGTGGGTGATTTTAATGCCAAGATAGGACCGAGAAGATCAGCTGAAGAACTTCACATCGGAACCCATGGCCTAGAATGGAACGAACAGGGTGAGAGACTGTCTGAGTTCATCATGTCGACCAAGACCATTCATGGTAACTCACAATTCCAGAAGGCAGAATCTAAACGATGGACATGGGAGTCTCCCGGTGGACGATTCCACAACGAAATAGACCACATCATATTCAATCGACGGTTTTGCCTGACTGATGTCGCTGTTGTCCCAAAATTTCGAACGGGATCGGACCACCGTCTCCTTCGTGCAAAATTCTACTTCACAGAGCGGGGAGAAAGGGCTGCAAAGTTCAAAAAGAGAACTCCCAGAACGACCACCAACTGGGAACTCTTTGGTACTATTGCGGCAACATGGGAAGATGCCATTGTTGACAACATTGACGAGGAATACGATCGACTGGTTCAGCACCTCCATGAATGTGCGAGGAACGCCAAGAGAGAGATAGCCACAAAAAGTCGCCTATCTTCGAAAACTCTTGAGCTAATTCGCCAGCGTGGTTTGGCGCATGCCTCAGGCAACCGCAAGCTAACGTCCGAGCTTGCAAAGCAGTGCAGAGATGCGATCAAGGAAGACCTCAAAGAGAGAAGAGCAGAAGTACTGGTAGATGCGGCAGAAGCCGGGAAAAGTATTCGTAACGCCCGCCTGTCCTTCGCCAACTATAAGACCAAGATGACTGCCCTCCGACGTCCTGATGGATCCATCACATCCTCCAGAACGGCAATGGAGAAGATTATCCATGACTTCTACTCAAATCTCTTTGATAGCCATGTCCACTTGCCGACATACCAAATTCCACAGGATGGGTATGTCGTTCCCAACGTTCTCCCTTCCGAAATCCGACACGCCATTTCGTCAGTAAAGAAGCAAACAGCACCCGGCCCAGACAAAGTCAGACCTGAACACCTGAAGAACCTGCCGTCAGTACTCATCAATACACTGGCTCGGCTCTTCACTCGCTACCTGTCTGAATGCAAGGTTCCATCTCAATGGAAAACCAGCAGGACCGTACTACTGTTCAAGAAGGGAGACATCCATGACATTGGCAACTATCGCCCGATCTGCCTATTGTCTGTCATCTACAAGTTGTTCACTCGAGTCATCCTGAATAGGATTGGCAGAACACTAGATGAAGGACAACCATGTGAGCAAGCAGGGTTCCGCAAAGGATTCAGCACCATCGACCATATCCACACGATAACCAAGCTCATTGAGGTTTCTCGGGAGTTCAAGATGCCGCTCTGCTTAACGTTCATTGATTTAAAGAAGGCCTTTGATTCTGTTGAGACGGAAGCGGTCATTGAAGCCCTAGCCAATCAGGGCATTCAAGCCCAATACATCAGGATCCTCCGTGAGCTGTATTGCGGATTCACTACCAGGATCTCACCATTCTACAAAGAAGTGATCGTTGATGTCAAGAGAGGGGTGCGGCAGGGTGATACCATTTCACCAAAACTCTTCAGTGCCACCCTCGAGAACATCATGCGACGACTGGAATGGGAAGGAATGGGAGTGAGGATAGATGGTCGGCAACTACACCACCTCCGCTTTGCTGATGACATTGTTTTAATAACACCAAACATCAGCCAAGCGGCACAAATGCTGGCCGACTTTGACCGTGAGTGTGGAAAGGTAGGACTACAGCTGAATCTTACGAAGACAATGTTTATGAGAAACAGCCTTGTTCCTGACGCCCCATTCGCTCTCAATGGAACGACCATCTCCGAATGCAACAGCTATGTGTACCTAGGTCGAGAGGTCAACATGACAAATGACCTGGCACCCGAGCTGCGCAGGAGGAAGAGAGTGGCTTGGAACGCCTTCAAGAACGTCGAAGAAATAGCTAAGAGGACGAAGAACCTCCTGCTCCGGGCACATCTCTTTGATTCCACTGTTCTTCCTGCATTAACATATGCCTCAGAGACCTGGGCCCTACGCAAACAAGATGAGAACGCCATTCAGGTCTCCCAAAGAAGAATAGAAAGAGCTATGCTTGGAATATCACGTTTCACTCAAATGAGAGAACGAATCCGGAGTTCTGACATCCGTCGACGATCAAGGATCAGGGACGCTGTCTCATTTGCCAAGGTGTCGAAAATCAGATGGGCTGGTCACGTAATGAGATTTAAAGACGACCGTTGGACTAGAGCTGTTACTGATTGGATTCCACGGGATGTCAAGAGACCGCGTGGCCGCCCACCTACCAGATGGTCAGACTTCTTTGTCAAGGTCATGAACGATCGGTTTGAGGCCCTCCATGTTCCCGGAGCGAAGAGATGCCATTGGGCTACACTAGCACGCGACAGGGACAAATGGAGACGTTACTGGCGCCCGCTCGAGCAAATCGACGACTAACGGGAAGTTAAGTGATTAAGTGATTTGCAGTTTTAATTTTTAGGAAATCATTTTTATTTTCTAGATTTCTTCACTAAGTCCTCCAGGAACCGAAATTTTCTTTATTTTCTTTCCAGTAACTTAAATTTTTTTTTTAGTTGTCTTCAATTTCTTGTTTCCCTAAATTCCTTTATTGATTTATTTACACCCAACCATGTTCAGAGCTTACTCATGGCTCTGCACTCAGGGATCATTCTTGGTGGACTTGGGGGACTATAAGGGGTCCCAAAGATCGAACCCAGGTTGGCTACATGCAAGGCAAACACCCTAACCACCTATAATCTCTCTAGCCCCCACTTTACTTTTTAATTTAATTATTATTATTATTTTACTTTTTGGGTCACACCTGGCGATGCACAGGGGTTATTCATGACTCTGCACCTAGGAATTACGCCTGGTGGTGCTTGGGGGACCATATGGGATGCTGGGAATTGAATCTGGGTCAGTGACATACAAGGCAAACAACCTACCGGCTGTACTATCACTCCAGCCCCCCTTTCTTTCTCTTTTTTTTTTTTGTCTCTTTCATATTGGTGACATTTCTCAAACTAAGATCTACTGATCCCTTTCACTAAAAGCTGAGTGGAAGCTGGGCTGGGGTGGAGGCAGTGGGGTTGATTAGTAGAACTTCCAGAGAGTCATGTGCTCAGCCATATTTAATAATCTTCATCTCTTAGGAAGGTATGCCATTCCACCTAGTCTCATCTGGTAATAATATACAGAGCTACTGTAAGAATAAAGGGCTAGTGTTAGAATTAAGAAAAAAGACAGTAAAAATAATTGTGGCTGGTTATTTAACAGTGACTGATTTATAGAAAATTACCCTGTGAATGTGCTACTTTTATTTTTTAACCTTTGTTTTTGTTTTTTAGGTTTTTTTTTTTTTTAAGTTTTTGCACCACAGCCTGCTGTGCTCAGGGCTTACTCCTGGCTGTGCTTGAGGAATCTCTCCTGGCAGGGTTTTGAGGACTATATGTGGTGCCTGGGATGGAACCCAGGTCAACCGCGAGCAATGCAAGAGTCCTTCCCTCTGTACTGTCATTCAGCTCCCAAACCCTTTTTTAAACTTTATCAGATTACTTTTCAGTAGTGCCTTCACATGCTTTGCTCTCATAATTCTCTTCCCCATAAGCAACTGCAAACTCTGAAACATTGTGTGCAAGTGTGTTGGGGGTGGGAAGGGGATGGGGAGTCCCCATCTATTTTTTTCCCCATTGGATAAAATAGAAGTGGGTAAGAGAACAAGAAACTTTTTTTCTTTCCTTGTTTCAGATGAAGTTACTTTCATTACGAGGAAAAAATATTCTAAGCAGTTCCCGTGAAAAAGGACCGCATGAGTACGTTTCTGAGAGCAACTGGGAAAACATTTTTCTTGCTTGGAGGACAGTGAGACAGTAACCAGAGAAAACCAACTTGGAGAAAACAATACTCATGCAACAAGTATGGCACAAGGTTTAGTCAAACCCAGTCTTTATTTTATACCAGGGAACCATACAGGAGAAAAACCAAGAGGGCAGAAAGCCGTTAGCAGATCTCCCAACGTAGAAAGAAACTACGTGATAGAAGGAAAGACTTGGGGGGCTGGGAGGGGTAGCAACCCCGTAGTCAGAGCCTGACCCTTATTCAGCATCAGCCACGGACCCCACTGGGAACTGTCAGGATTGAAGGAATCTGTCCCAGTTTGGCTCTTCGTGATCACCACAGAATCCACATTGCGGGGGTGTGGGTCCGCCTCAACTTGTTTGAGAAAACGGTTTGTTCTGAGAATCTCAGGCGGTCTTTGTGTTAGAAACGTGGGCCCAGCGGTCAATTAAAAACATCTCCGCTCACAGCTGTGCTGTTCAAGGACGTGCTAATGTCTACAACTTCAGTATTAAAACTCAAAGAAGCTCTATTAAAATGTGGCTAGAAATCCCAGCTCCGTGGTACTCGGAGCAGAGCTCGTCGGGTGTCGCCGGTGTCCACCGGCCGCGGGAATTGGGCTGTCCGGGAAGGCGTTTCCAGACACGCCGCGCCACGGGGGTGGAGAGACGTCAGGAACCAGGTCCGACCGGTAGAGGCCGGCCTCGGCCTCCCAAGAGAGAAGGGGCCTCCTGAGGGGCCGGCGGTGAGGCGTCAGCGTGTCTAGCCTCAGCAGCTCAGGACCCATGGGAGGAAAACGCTTAGAAAGGGCTGGAATCTTAGTGACCTTGGGCAAAGTCCCTGGGCCACCGAGTTCATTTTCTGCAAAATGGGGAGACGTTTTTTTTTCTGGGTTCATGAGCGAATGCCTGAGATCCTGTGAGGAAAAGTGCCTGGGCACACAACGGCGGCGTAGCTGCGGCGGGACTGAGCCGCCGGGGTCTCCCAGCCCACCTCCTCCTCCTCTTCAGGCACCTAGGGGGAGCGCCGGCTCGTCTCCAAGGCAACCGCGCCCGGGCCCCGCCTCCGGCCCCGCCCCCAGGCCCGCCCGGACCGGAAGCAGCTGCCGGCGGGGCGCGAAGCTGGTGCGCCCCAGACGCCGCCGGGTCGCCTTCCCCCGCCGTGAGGTGAGAAGCGGCGTCCGCGAGCGCGAAGTGCGGGGGAGGGGCGCGGCCGAAGCGCCCCCTCTAGTCACAGCGCCCCTCTCAGTGCCCTCGCGGCGCTGCCTCCTGCAGGCGCCTCTCCCCAGAGAGCTCCCTGGGCTCAGGGCGTCCGCGCAGCTCTCGGGGTCCCGCCGAGTGGGGGCGTTGGGGGAGCAGTCGGGGGTGTGGAGTGGAGGGCGTCCGAGCGTCCCCTCTCTCTGCTTAGACCCCTGGATCGGGGTTCTGGGTGCAACCGCCCCTCCTGGGTGCAAACAGGATCCTCGGGAGTTGTTGGGGGGGGGGGGCGGGGGGGAACTGGTGCAGAAAAGGCTGAGCGCGTGCTCATCCCCGGGACTGCAGTGTTGGGTCCCTCAGTGTAAGCCCCCAGACCCCCAGCCCTCGCCAGACCCGCGGCTTCTCTCGTTCCTGTCCCAGGCTTCTCTCGTTCCTGTCCCATCCCTTAGCGCCCAGGTGTGTCCCGGGGCCCACCAGCCAACCGACCGTTGGGTGCTCGGCCGCCGGTGCTTGACCGGGCGCGGCCCCTATGCCATGGGTCTCGTTCCCAGAGCTCATTCAGAGCCGGTGCAGCCTTCCCGAAAATACCCTTAGCAGGCTGCTTTGTCTGTTTTTTAAGATTTAAGTGAGTTTTCATTTATTAAGGTGAAAAGAGCTAGACACCGCTCTACACTGCATATTCCTGCTGGACTATCCGCTAATTTTTTCAGTCGAAAAGATGAAAAAACGGGTGCAATCATTATGTGAAGCTTAAAAATAAAAACCACCTTGTGCCAGTATATTTAAAAACCGGGTGCTGCAGTTAGATTCAGTAGTGAAATGATGCTGCTGCTGCTGATGCTGTGAAATATGTAAATTGTCTTGTCTGCTGTTAACACTGCAGCATTGTATAAGGTTATCATTTTGCTTCCCACCCCTTGCTGAAGTGAAATGGAGGGGAAGGGGTTGGAGGTGGGAATGGTAGAACAGATAAAGCAAAAAGATAGAGGCCCCGTGTACGGTTTGTAAAGGTCCTCAGTTACTGCTGATGAATGAAAGTGGCACAAAGAAAAGTGGCTTTCCACCTTCTTCCTGCTACCAAGTTACTGCCTCAAGGAAAAATTGCCTTTCATAACTGATTGCTGGATACAATGAATTGTGAATTGATAATCAGGGATCTCTTCGAATAGTGTTTGGGGCACCAACTAGGGAGCTGGGGATCAAACTTGGGTCAGATACAATCAAGGCAAGCGTCCTACCTGCAGTACTCTCACTCCAATCTGAAACAATATTATACAGTAAAAATATAGTTAAGTAAGCATAGATGTTACAGATAGGAAGTATAAGTATGAAAATGTATAGGTAAATAAATTTAGATGAAGTGATATGCAATTACTTTTTATTAATGACTGGTTCCTTTAATATCAAAATAATTGTCAGAACAATTAGTAAATGCTTGTTTAAAAAGCCACACAAAAGTACTTCTGTCAGGAGACTCTTTCTTAGATCTCTTTGCAACAGGCTAGATAAAATTAATTAACTCTTTGAACCTACATTAGAGTCCTAGTTTTTTTCAGGCTCTCTTATTCTCCTGGAGCTCCTGTGTAGTCCTCCTGTGATCTCTTGTAAGGATAATTTTGAGGGAAAAAAATAGGAATTAACTACTGCATATGAATTAATGAGTCATGGCTCTTTGAGTCTCTTAAGGAAGTTTCCCTCGAAAGCGTGGTTTTTGTTAAAATTAAGGCTGTCCTTACTATTTATTTTTATGCTTTATGCTATTTATTTTTTATGTTTTTTTGAAAGCGTGGTTTTTGTTAAAAGTACGTCTGTCCTTACTATTTATTTTTATGCTTTATACTATTTATTTTTATGCTTCTAACTCTAGTTGTATCATTTTAAGTATTTGTCTTTCTACTTGTTTCTTTAATTGTATTTAAGGAGTGTTCATAGTGTTTCGCCTCCTTAAAGATTAAAATTCCCTGCTTCTGAGCGGTTCCCAATCAAGTATCCACAAAAGTGAGAGACTCACCAACTCTTCACCCACAAACTTCAGAGGATCCTGACAGTGCTCTGGTTGTGAAGATGGAGCAGGAAAAACAGACCTTTGAGCTGAACTCTAACCTCCGCTCAAGCCACTGCTATAGCCCAGAAACGTTTCGCCAGAGGTTCAGGAGGTTTGGCTACCGGGATTCTTCTGGGCCCCGTGAGGCCCTGAGTCGGCTCCGGGAGCTGTGTCATGGGTGGCTGAGGCCAGAGGCGCACAGCAAGGAGCAGATCCTGGAGCTGCTGGTGCTGGAACAGTTCTTGGCCATCCTTCCGGAGGAGCTGCAGGCCTGGCTGCTGGAGCAGCGGCCAGAGGATGCTGAGGAAGCCGTGAGTCTGCTGGAGGAGCTCGAACGGGAGCTGGATGAACCGAGTTCACAGGTAAGGAGCAGCCTGGGGCCTGGAGATTAGGCCGAGTCCCTACCACTGGCCTGCCTTTCTGGTAGAGTTCTCTCGCACTCTTCTCCTAATTAGCACCCCCAGATGTGTGAGGGGCCTGGTAAATGTGCTCCTTGCCATGCCAGAAAACTGGGTCCTGCTTCCCCCCTCCCGTATTGTTGTTGTTTTGTTTTTTGTTTGTTTGTTTGGTTTTGCTTTTTGGGTCACACCTGGCGATGCTCAGGGGTTAGTCCTGGCTCTGCACTCAGGAATTACTCCTGGTGGTGCTAGGGGGACCATATGGGATGCTGGGAATTGAACCCGTGTTGGCTGCGTGCAAGGCAAACACCCTACCCACTGTGCTGTCACTCCAGCTCCCATCTCACTCCCTTTTTCTGTGTTGCAGAGTGTTTTTCACAGTTTCTTCTTTGTTATTTTTCTCCTGAAGTCCCAACCCCACCTTTCTCTAGCCTCAGCTATACCTGTTTCTAGGTCATTTTGGGACAAAAAGAGGACATGCCTGCAGAGAAGCTATCACCTTGCAACTTAACTCTGGAGCTACCAGGCAGCCAGCTCAAGCCTGAAAAGGAGCAGCTGGGAGCATCCAAAGAGCTGCAGTCCTTAGGAGAAAATGGTGAGCTGGATTCAGTTTGGTGCTGGGTGGTGAACTATGCCTCACAGCCCACCACACTTCTTTTGGCTTCTTAGAAGTCTCACGTTTCCTCTCCTACCTTGTTCCCACAACAGTGGAAACTTCACTGAGGAATATTCTCAGTGTTTTCTTGTTTCTCATATTTTAAAAGAACCTTCAGGGACCAGAGCAATACGACAGCAAATAGGATGCTGCCTTGCACATAGCTGACCCAAGTTCAATCCCCAGCATTCCAAATGGTCCCCTGAGCCCTCCCAGGAGTGATCCCTGAGTGCAGAGCCAGGTTTAAGCCCTGAGCATTGCTAGATGTTACCAAAACAACAACATCAACAGCAGCAACAGCAAAACCCTTTAGATTTTAACATTTTTTACATAACCTTCAAGAGGATTTGTCATTACTACAAACCATTGAAAGAAAACTCATATGACTGAAGCAGAAACAGTTCAGTCCACTATGACTTCCTCTCAGCCTTAGTCCCACCTGTTACCTTTATGTAGCATTTCAGTTCCTTCTGAGAAACCCTACTGATCTCCATTATTATTTTCTGTTAAGTCTTGTTCAGTTACTCAGGAGGATCTGTTTTCAGTATCACCTATATTGTATGCATAAGCTCTCATGGTGCATTAAGTATGTTTGTGTAAGTTTTGCTACTCTGTCCCATTCAAAATTGACTTCTGTTGCTCTTAGCATCACTTTTATAGGATTCCAGATGGCTGACATAACAATTGCTCCCATATTAAAAATTCAAAATAACAATGATAAATACTATGGGGGAAAAGTAAAGCAGAGTAAGGGTGAGAGAGAGGGACAGTCCTTATCAATTAGAGTGGTAGTAAAGGTCTCAGGAACGTTACATTTGAGCTAAAAATGTTTAGGATCTTTCTGGATAGAATGTGAACCAGTGATGAAGAGGAAAATTAACTCCAGTTGAGAGAATTTTTCTTGACTATTTCATCATTCCAGGATCACGGGAAAAAGAAAGAGAATACAAAAATTTAGAGAGCGTTTTTAGATTTTAGAAAATAGGCTCTTTGCATTTATGGGCTCTTTAGAAATGATTTCTCACTCTAGGCAAATATATTTCTCTAGGAGGCTTGTACTGGGCACTTAACACCTCCAATATAATAGATAATTTCTGAGTTAGAGGGCAAGTGAGTCTTTTCACATGCTACCAAGAAAGGGATGAAAAATGTCCCAGCCTCAGAAACTGTGTAGTGGTGACAGCAGAATTGATAAGTGACCTCAAATCCTGGTACTGGGCTCCAGGTGCTGGTGAGATCCATGTTCACCCTGTGAATGTACTCACATAAGTTTTCCTGGGTATTTTTTTGTCTGTTTTGTTTTGGGGCCACACTTGGGTGTGCTCAGCTCTTACTCCTGGTTCTGTGCTCCTGGCTCTGTGCTCAGAGATCACTCCTGATGGGGCTTAGGGGACCATATGTGGTGTGGGGTATCAAATCAGAGTGGGCTTCTTACAAGGCAAAAACCTAACCTCCATGTACTCTCTGTCCCCTTGCTCTACCTTTTTAAAATTTTTTTTAATTAAAGAACTGATTTACAAGGTTGATAGTTGAGTTTTAGGCATATGATATTTCAACATCACCACCAGTGTCAACTTCCCTCCAGCAGTATTCCCATATTCCTTCCTCACCCCCAAACTCTGCCCAATCCTACCTGCCAGTTTGACAGACACATTACAAAGTTCCAGTGTTTTCAGCTTAGATCTCATGTTTGCAGTGTTGTTGAGCCTGTATTTTGGATAGATGACTATATTACATACATCAGGATCCTTCGTGAGCTCTATTGCGGATTCACTACCAAGATCTCACCATTCTACAAAGAAATAATCATCCATATCAAGAGAGGGGTTCGGCAGGGTGATACCATTTCACCAAAACTCTTCAGTGCCACCCTCGAGAACATCATGCGACGACTGGAATGGGAAAGCATGGGAGTGAAGATAGATGGTCGGCAACTACACCACCTCCGCTTTGCTGATGACATCATTCTAATAACACCAAACATCAGCCAAGCGGCACAAATGCTGAACGACTTTAACCATGAATGTGGAAAGGTCGGACTACAGCTGAATCTTATGAAGACAATGTTTATGAGAAACAGCCTTGTTCCTGACGCTCCATTCACTCTCAATGGAACCACCATCTCCGAATGCAACAGTTATATATACCTAGGTCGAGAAATCAACATGATGAATGACCTGGCACCTGAGTTACGCAGGAGGAAGAGAGCAACTTGGACTGCCTTCAAGAACGTTGAAGAAATAACTAAAAGGACAAAGAACCTCCAGCTACGAGCACATCTCTTTGATTCCACTATTCTTCCTGCATTAACATATGCCTCAGAGACCTGGACCCTACGAAAACAGGATGAGAACGCTATTCGGGTCTCTCAAAGAGGAATCGAAAGAGCTATGCTTGGAATATCACGATTCACTCAAATGAGAGATAGAATCCGGAGTTCTGATCTTCGTCAATGCTCAAGAATCAGGGACGCTGTCTCATTTGCCAAGACATCAAAAATCAAATGGGCTGGACACGTAATGAGGTTTACAGACAACCACTGGACTAGAGCCATTACTGATTGGATTCCACGGGACATCAAAAGATCACATGGACGCCCACCTACAAGATGGTCAGACTTCTTCATCAAGACCCTGAATGATCGGTTTGAGGCTCTGCATGTTCCTAGAACGAACAGATACCATTGGGCTATGCTAGCACGCAACCGGGATGAATGGAGACGTTACTGGCACCTGCTCGAGTAAATCGATGAATAATGGGGATTAAGTGATTAAGTGATTAAGTGACTATATTACTCTCCCATATTATCAGTATAACTGAAGCCCTGATGCCTGTTCACCCATTACTTTCCATTCTCTTCTCGCGCCACCCCCCCTTGATTTTTTTCCTCCTCTGCCCTTCTCTAAACACCAGGTCAAGGGTGATCTAGGCATCCCTCCTTTACTATAATATATTTCCTCATCCAGTATTCTATATACTACATATAAGTGAAATCATCCTATGTTTGTCTTTCTTCTTCTGGCTTACTTCACTCAATATGATATCTTCCAGTTCCATCCAGGTTTCAGCAAGTTGTGTGACTTCATCATTCTTTGCAGCTGTATAGTATTCCACCGTGTATATGTACAGCATCTTCCTACTCCATTCATCTATCATTGGACACGTAGGTTGATTCCACATCTTAATTGTACTGAGTATAGCAGTGAGTAATGGTGTGTGTATATGTCCTTTTGAGAGAGTGTTTTTATGTCCTGGGGCTAGAAACCCAGAATTTCTGGGTCATATGACAGTTCAATTTAAAGTTTACTGAGAACTCCACATACTGTTTTTCGCAAGGGTTGTACCAGGTGATATTACAACCATCAGTGGATGAGTTTTCACCACATCCCCACCAGCACGGATTGATCCTACTATTTTTGATATATGCCATTCTTACTGGTGTGAGGTGGTATCTCATTGTCCTCTTGATTTGTATTTCTCTGATGATGAGTGATGCTGAGTACTTTTTTCTACTTTTTCTAGGAAGATGTGCCTACCAGCCATCTTCTTATTTCCTCTGAGAAGTAACTATTCATTTTCTCTCCCTATTGCCTGGTAGTTTTTTTTTTAATTTCTTTTTTGTGGATCTTTGTGAATGTTTTATATATCCTAGATATTAAACTTTTATCTGATGTGTTCAATACAAACATTTTTTCCAATTCAGATAGCTGCCTTTTAGTATTAACCCATGTGTCTTGGTGGGTTTTGGGTTTTTTTTTGGGGGGGGGAATGGGTTGCCATGCACAAACTTTTAATTTAATGTAGTCCCGTGTTGTACGAACGTTTGGTTAGGCAGTCTGAGGCACTGAGACAATGAATGCCAGAGAAATTATTTTTCATGGAGGATCACAGGACTCATTCAGATCTTGTGACCAATATTATTGACTTTTCTAGAGCCTGGAAGAGTGTTGTCTGAATTTGGATGGGGAATGCATTGAATATACATAATAGTTTAGGTGGGATAATCATTTTAGTAATATTTTTTTTCCAATCCGTGAGTGTGGGATATTTTTCCATTTCCTAAGATGGTCTCCTTTCCCTTTCTTGAGTGATTTAAAGTTAAAGTTTAAACTTCTTAAAGTTATGGTACAGATCACTCACATCTTTTGTTAAGCCAATTCTAAAATTCTACATCTTTTGTTAAGCTGATTCCAAGATATTTGGGGAAACTATTTTAAATGGGATAGACTCCTTGATTGCTTTTTCCTCTGATTCATTCATTGTACATAAAAATGTGACCTATTTTTGTGTATTGACTTTATAGCTGCCCACTTTGCTATACCGGCTTATTGTTTCTAGGGGCTTTTTTGCAGACTCTTTAGGGTCTTCTATGTATATCATCATGTCATCTGCAAATCATGATAATTTGAGTTCTTTTTCAATTTGAATTACTCTGATTTGTTTTTCTTGTCTGATTGCTGTAGTGAGAGCTCCTAATATTATGTTGAATAAAAATGTACAGAGTGAACATCCACGCCTTATACTTCATCTTAACCATTAAGAATGATATTGGTATAGTCTTATTGTAGATGTCCATTATCTTGAGGAAAGTTCCTTCCACCCCTCTCTTGTTGATAGTTTTTATCATTAATGGATGTTGGATCTTGTCAAAGACTTTCTCTGCATCAATTGATATGATCCTATGATTTTTATCATTCTTTTTACTAATGTAGTGTATTACATTAATTGATTTGCATATATTGAAGTATCCTTGCATCCCTTAGATGAATCTCATTTGATCAGGGTGTATGATTTTTTTTTTCTGATATGTTGTTAGATTCGGTTAGCTAAGATTTTGTTAAGGATTTTTACATTGATATTGATCAGGGAGATTGGTCTGAAATTTTCTTTTCTGGAAGTGTCTGTCTGCTTTGGGTATTAGTGTAATGTTAACTTCAGAGAAGAATTCCTGTGTCTTTAATATTTTGTAAGAGTTTAAGGAGTAAGGGGAGTAAATCTTATTTGAAGGTTTTATAGAACTCATTGGTGAAGCCATCTGCACCAAGACTTTTATTCTTCGGGGGGAGATTCTTAATTACTGTGTTAATTTCATTACTTGTGATAGGCTGGTTTAAACTATTTCCTTCTCACTCAGCTTTGGAAGATTCTGTAACTCTAAGAATCTACCCATTTCTTCTTGGTTCTCCAACTTAAGAGCAAAAAGTTGTTCATAGTAACCTCACTATATTTTATTTTATTTATTTATTTTTTAAGTAAACAGATTTTATTTAGAGGGTTTTTGAAGGGAAGGAGGAAAGGGAAAGTGGGAGAGAGTGGAGAGTAAGAGAGACTGAGCAACGCGCTCAAGAGAGAATGTGGGCTCCTCCAACGGTGAAGAGAGCCCCTATACATACCCCAGCATTAGAAAGGAAGGCAAAAAAGTACAGAGCTCAAGAGGGGAGTTACGGGTGACACATGTGCTCAGGCACCGTCTGTGCTTGGCCACGTGGGTGCAAGCAGCACATGGGCTCGGGCGGCACATGTGCCACCCTCACTATATTTTAAATTTCTGAAGGATCCGTTGTAATTTCTCCCCTTTCATCTGATCCAATTTATATGAACATTATTTTTCCTTGTGAATCTAACTAAAGGTTAATCTCTCATTTATTTCTTTCAGAGAAGGAGCTTCTGGTTTTATTGATTCTTTGAATTGCTGTCTGGGTTTCTGTGTTGTTGATTTCTGCTCTTGTTTTTACTATTTCTCTCCTTTGGATTTGTTTATTGTTCCTTCTCCAGATTTTCAAGATGTGTGATTTGTGTTGATTTGGACTTTTCCTTCTCTCTTGATGTAGGCCTACATTATGTGAATTTCCACCTTACTACAGACAAGTTTTGCTATATCCCATAGATTTTGGTAGCTTATGTCTTTATTTTCATTATTTTCAAAGAATCTTTTAATTTCTTCCTTGATTTCCTCTCCTTCTGTATGTGTTAAAAAGATGCATAGGAGTATGAAAACAGAAAGCAGTCAGGAATCTACAGTAGAAAACAGAATGAGGATAATATGTAAGGAAACATGGTCATTTCTATGGCTGTTACATGGTTTTTGTGCTACTGTGACCATGTCCTGTCAAAGCTTCTGCAGCTCGTGACCTTGGTCTCTTTTTGATAATAATGATTAGACATTGGGATGACTTTAGAGTTTGAGTTCACAAAAAATGAAATTGTGGAGAATTTGTGTTTTAATAATAAAATTTTAAATATGATAATAGAATTTATAAAATAAATGAATTTGTGTATGATATGATGGGTTTGATCCCTGATGTAGTAGTACTGTACTGTACTGTCCTCCCATTGTTCATCTATTTGCTCGAGCAGGCTCCAGTAATGTCTTCATTGTGAGACTTGTTACTGTTTTTGGCATGTTGAATATGCTATGGGGAGCTTGCCAGGCTCTCCAAGAGGGACAGAGGAATCAAACCTGGATCGGCTGCGTGCAAGGCAAACGCCCTACCCGCTATGCTGTAGCTCCAGTCCTTGACCCCTGATACCACCACCAAAAAAAAAAAAAAAAGCACTGTAGCACTGTCCTCCTGTTGTTCATCAAGTTGCTCGAGCAGGCCCAATAACATCTCCATTGTGTGACTTGTTACTGTTTTTGGCATATTGAATATGTCATGGGTAGCTTATCAGGCTTTACCATGTGGGCAAGATAATTTGAGACAGAATCCCTACCATATACATGTAATTATTTCTACTTAAAACATGAATAACGTCATACAACTAGTAAAGTACATGGAAGAGAAGTTTTTCAATACCTGGCAATACATAACAGAGAACCAGGAGTCAGTCCAGAGCACTGCTGCGTGTGGTCCAAAAATACAACAGAACAACGGTCTTCCCATCGTTCATCAATTTGCTCGAGCAGGCCCAGAAACGTCTCCATCATGAGACTTGTTGTTACTGTGTTTGGCATATCAAATACGTCACGGGTAGCTTGCCAGGCTCTGCCGTGCGGGCAAGATACTCTCGGTAGCTTGCTGGGCTCTCCGAGAGGGGTGGAGGAATTGAACTCGAGTCGGCCATGTTGGCCGCTTGTAAGGCAAATGACCTACTGCTGTGCTAAAGAACAGATTTTTTTTTAATATGAGGTATTTTGCTGCCATTAGTTGACATGTTAGTTGGCCTAATCTATAATTCTGCCTTTTTTTTTCCTTTTTGGCTTTTTTGTGTCACACCCAGCAGTGATGCTCAGGGGATACTCCTGGTGTTGCTCCAGGAGCCATATGGAATGCTGAGGATCAAACCTGGGTTGGCTGTGTGCAATGCAGATGCCCTATTCATTGTAACATTGCTCTGCCCCCCCTCCTTTTTTCTTTAGTGATGCTTTTGTACTGAATTTCGTTTACTACTTCTAGGTTTTGTTTCTCTCCTTTCTGTTGTTCCTCTGCTGCTCCACTCATTTTTCATCTTTATAAACCTTTTCCCCAGACTTTTAAAATTCTTTGGTATACTTTGTACCCCTGCTCACCATTCTGTCTTATTCTTTGATTCTTTTCATCTTTGTAGTTAATTAACTTCTTGGTATATACACCTTTCTCTTTTGCCTCGTGATCATCTAAATGTTTTCTGCTTTATCCTCTATCCTCTTCATTTTGGCACTATTTGGAAACAGACCACCCTCTAATATCATTTGAGTCATTCTGAACAGACAACTGGTGACACTTTACTTACTATGTATTATTTCAGATAAAGACAGAACCATCAATGAGAAATCCCCTTTAAGACAAAAGGATTCTTCAGGCATAGAACTACATTATGTGTCTACCACCCTTCATAAGAATACTTCTCAGAATTTCACAGATAGAAGAATCTGTGAACAAAATGGCAGGTTTGAAAGAAGACAAGGAACCACTACTCGAAAAAAACAACACAAGTGTGATGAATGTGGTAAAATCTTTAGTCAGAGCTCAGCCCTTATCCTACATCGGAGAATCCACAGTGGAGAAAAGCCTTATGCATGTGATGAGTGTGCAAAGGCTTTTAGCCGAAGTGCAAGCCTGATTCAGCATCGAAGAATTCACACTGGGGAAAAACCTTACAAGTGTCATGACTGCGGGAAAGCATTTAGCCAAAGCTCAAATCTTTTCAGACATAGAAAAAGACATAATAGAGAAAAGGTCCCATCAGTGCAGTGAGGTAATGATAGCATTTACTCAGAGCTTCTTTGACAAGAAATAAGATCCATGAAACAAACTGTAGTATAAATCAGTGGTTCCAATGGGAACCAGTTTTCTTTCAAGGGTTATAAGAGCCACAGGAAAGAATGTCAAATATCTTGTCTGCATTGTTTTGCTTTTCATCTTACCGATGCAGTGTCAATAAAAGTGCTCAAGATTCTAAAGCTTAGTTCAGATTTCCATCCTGAGGGCAGCTCTTGAAAATAATTCTGACATTTTCTACTATTTCTATTATTAATATAAAAATGAAGTAATATATTCCCTTTTCGACAAATATATTTTCCTCCTTGAGGAAAGTGAGAGTTGCTTAGTATGAAAAGGGTTATTGCTTTCATTTCATAACCTGAGCATTGAAGTTCTCAGATTAAAAGTTAAACCACTTTTTAAAGTTTCCCATTTTTTTTCTGTTGTCCCATTAAAAATTTGAGATTGGGGAGTTGGAATTTCAAAAGAATATGGGCCTCACGATTTAGGGTGAAATGTTCTTATCAGGGAGCAGGTGAATAAAGGGACTCAATCTCATGAAAATTCACAAGAGCATACACTTATTGATGAAGTTAAGTAATTTCCCTTTTAGGGGAAAAGGAGTCTCCTTCACAACGTGATTTGGAAATAATTCGGTAAGAACATTACATCTACATGTCTTCAGAAAGTTGCCTAAACACAGGAATGTTCTCATAATTAATAATATCTGTGAGCTTACATAAGACTTTAAGTAAGACTGGAATACAATTATTGACAAGGGTAGTGTGTAATGGAGACATTTATATGAAAAAGGAAACTCATAATAGCTAATAAATATCCTTCAGTGTTGTCATGGTCCCTTTTCTGTTATATATCGTCTGAATATGTCTCAGGCAACACAGGACAATCTATCAGATATTAAGCTTTCATGATAACACTAGATTTCTAGTCAGTCACCTGAGATTGGATTTCAGTGGTCTTGTACAAATGAGGCAATGATTGAATATAAGGGATCCTCCAAAAGTTTACCCCTACTTAACTCAGTCAGACCCCTTGGTTACATGTAAAATGCCTGGTTTGTATATTAAAATTATTCAGATGATGTGCAGCATAAGGTTTCCTTTTCCAGTGATTCTTAATAAAAAACAGTACAAAACTCTCAGTTACTTGTTTCCCATGTGACTACAATTGGTTAACTACTACTAGTTAACCAATCACTGTCACTGTCACTGTCCTCCTGTTGTTCATCGATTTGCTTGAGCGGGCTCAGTAACATTGTGAGTCTTATTGTTACTGTGTTTGGTATATCGAGTATGTCACGGGTAGCTTGCCAGGCTTTGCTGTGCAGGCGAGATACTCTTGGTAGCTTGCCGGGCTCTCCAAGAGGGGCGGAGGAATCGAACTCGGGTGAGCCATGTTGGCTGTGTGCAAGGCAAACGCCCTACCCACTGTGTTACCCCTCCAGCCCAGTTAACCATTATGGAGGCAAAAACCAGAAGTGAAAAAATTGGAAGGAGGAGGGGAGAGGATACTCATAGTAAATACTCATAGAGGATACTCAAACTCTTTGATTGAGCTCCTCATGAAGTGTAAACATTTCATTAACAGAAAATCCAACCATATCTAGTGCTTAGAATAATTTCAAAAACATATGTATGTGGGATTATCATGCCTAGTATGTTGATAAATATAAGATTAGTGGGGGAGAACTGAATGCCAATTTTAATTATAGTTTTCTGATAGTAATTACGGCTTGTAGTTCTAATGCATATGCATGTATATTGGGTTTTGTAGATCTTCAGTTATTAAAAATGAATGGGTCTTTATTTGAACTCATTCTCTTTGTAATTAAAGAGAGGAACAAGCCATCTATTTAAAAGAGCAAATGCCTCAGAAATACGTGTATTATGAATTACTGCTTAATTATGGAAAGAGATTTTCTTAGGTAACGTGAATAAGATGACAAGTACTAAATCAAGTATTCTTAGGGAAGCAAACTCTCTTGGTGCTGCTATAAACTTTGCAAGATTGCATTTTCTGGACCCAGTGGCTTGGAATGCCTGCCCTGCAAATGTAAATTCAGGAGGTCCATTACGTTGCAGCCACCTGTGCCAAGCAACCCTTATTGCTCTGCTCTCTGATTTAGGCTATACAAGTTATTTCTTATCACACTGCAGCCAAGTGTGTGTGAGCATTATAACCAAGGGTGCAGCCTCTGGTGGTCATCACTGAAAGATATGTGAGTGATCAACTACAGAGTGTGTCATTCACAGGTGTTCAAGCATCACAAACTGATGTGCAGACTTGGTGAGGGCAGCCAAACGTATAAGCACCACAGCCAGGGATGTTTTTGTGTGTGTACCTCGGGTTATTGAAACAACAAAGCTAAGGTGGGAAAAATTGCATTTTCTTCATTCAGTAAATAATCTGAATTTCTCCACCAGAAATTTGCTTGAATGTTACCTTCCACACGCCTGATGGATCTCAGATAGTGATGCTTATCTAAAAGAATTCTAATACCTGAGTCCACTTGGTGAACATTTGCATGATATGAACGCTCCGGTTAGATTCATTCCCACAGATAGCACATACTCCGAAATGAAATTGGTATCTTTTAAGTTAAATTTTATTTCACGAGAGCCTTTAATAGTATCTGTAATCTTACGTGTTTCTTTACCGCTCTTCGATTCTTCTCAAAGATCAGGTCAGGAGCTGTGGGATAGAGTTCATGCCTGGCTTGAGCAAAGCATAGAATTTAACATCTGGCAAGGATTCCTGAGTGTTTGTTTTCACCTTTACGCCCCTGAGAACCACCAGGTGGCCCTGAAGGTCCCCACTACTGCCAAATCCTCAACACTGCTGGGTGCATAGATATAATTATTGACTGACAGTTATTTCCACCAACTGAAAAGTAACTGGTCTGGCTGGTGTCTTTTCCCTTTTTTGGCCCTTTCCACATGCTTGTTTTCTCATATACTTGAGAGCTGTCTCCCCTTCGGGGATACTATCTGAGGTCCCATTGAAAGAAGGAGGGGAACACCAGGTTTAGGTGATTTAATAGGAAAGGTGAAAACTTTCCAAGAATCTCCAGCAGTATTCTGCTGGTTTTCCTGTTGCTTTGTGTGGTAGCAAGCATTTTCAAGTTCTAGGGGGAAGGAGCAGGGCAGAGGGGATTGGATAGTAGTGTGGCATCAGCCAACAACATTTAGCATGCAGTTGTTTTCCTTCTCTTCCACTCCAACCTCCAGTTATGATACACCAAAGTGGCAGGGGCAACAACTCAGTGACAGCAGAGATCACAGGAAGGGGCTTTAAATAGAGAATGGGGACCCCTTCACTCTCAGAAGAAGAGCCCTGATCCCAAGAATCTGGGGCAAATCCCCATTGTTTGTATTCTTTTTTTTGTGGGGGGGGGGGGGGTCACACCCGGCGATGCTCAGGGGTTACTCCTGGCTCTGCACTCAGGAATCACTCCTGGCGGTGCTTGGGGGACCATATGGGATGCTGAGAATCGAACCTGAGTCGGCCGCGTGCAAGGCAAACGCCCTCCCCGCTGTGCTATCGCTCCAGCCCCATTCTTTTGTGCCCTCTTCACTGCGTGGACAAATGCAGATGTGGTTGTTGAGTAAAACTGCAGAGTGGGGAGACTAAAGTACTGGAGTACTTAGGAAGGACTCAGGTTTCTGGAGAGTGTTAGGCTTATTTTAAGGAAGAGGGAGATCCAGCAAGACTCCTAACAGCATATGAGCTCTATATATTGTTCATTTGTTCAGCTCTGAATTATGCATGACCCCAATTGCTGCAGACATTGAGAGGTGAGCTTCTAGGTAAGATAACAGCTCAGCATTCAGACTGGCCACTAGGTGGCGCGCACAAAGGTTAGCTCCAAATGGCAGGGGAAGGTGGGTTTTCCCCTCACTCCCCACCTCCACTTTATTTCAACACTATGGTTTACAAAGTTGTTCATGATAATTTGCCACAGGCATTCAATATTCCACATCAGTCCCACCACCACTGTCACCGTCCCTCCACCATTGTCTACATTTTCCCAACCACCCCTCAAGCCTGCCCACACAGCAGGCCCACAATAATTGATTTTATATTGCTTGTTACAACTAACTGGCTAATGATCAAAAAGTACTTCGATAAAAGAAAATTTGTGAAAATTGATGTATCTCATCAAGGGGACATTAAGTTCTTGCTTGAGGGTTTACTGAACTAGTCAAGCCCTCTGTGTTAATGGGTTTTTTTGGTTTGTTTGTTTGTTTGTTTGTTTGTTTGCTTTTTGGGTCATACTTGTGCACTCAGGAATTACTCCTGGCGGTGCTCGTGTGCAAGGCAAACGCCCTACCTGCTGTGTAGCGCTCCAGCCCCTGTGTTAATGTTTTTGTTAGTCCAGATTAGTTGGCTTCAGTGTGACATTTCCAAACAATTTGTGCTATTACTGAGATGTTACTATTGTAGAGTTTGGATATGTTGCAGCTGTGTGCTCTAGAAAATCCAGAATATTTAACTGGGTAGTCTGGAGGCGTGGAGGCTGCTGTTGGGTTGTGAGTGCAGCTGCTGGTGCTTTGATAGAGCAGGAACTTGGCCCACTCCCTTCTCAAGGCCACATCAGGCATCTCAGCAGGGATTGGGTATCCGAGAAATTTTTGCAACTAGTTGATCTCTTTAGAGATTTAATTATTAGTCTCTGTATCAGGTCCCATAGGTGAGCTGTCATAGCTGCAGCAGTGGGATGTGGGTGTGGTGGGAGAGAGGGAGAGTGGAGGCTTCCAGGCATTTGGGGAGGTGGGGGAATGTCACCCATTTGGACTCCGAAAAGGCCCAGCCCCCCCAAACCCTGTATACCTGAAATTTTTGGCAGATTGGCATCTCTGTAGAGCTCACTCATGAGCCAGTGGAGTCTGGCCAGAGACTTGGTGGCAGCTGTTGGGGTGTGAGTGCATCAAGGAAGTTTTGAAAACAGAACTTCTGTTGGAACCACAGTCCACACAAGAGGGCAGAAGTTGTGGCCTAATCTAGCTT